AAAATCCCTACACCTCTGAGGTCACAGAAGTAACCTGTGTTGTGAGTGTCACAGGAAAATTTGAGTCTTGAGTGATGGTAGTGAATTTGCCTTTTGTATGTTTATGAAGCAAAATGAGAAGGTTATAATTCTAAATCTGATGCTCAGGAAAGGCCTCCTTTTGGGGGGAGCAGGGGAATGACATGATGTATCTACTGGAGAGAATCGCTTGGGAGACTGTGTGGAGAAGGAAGTATGGAGTAAAGACGAAGTGGTAGATTAGAGACCTAATAAAATAGTGAGCAGGATGAAAGAAGATAAGACTTGGACAGGGTGAGTGGGGGAATGGTAGAGTTGCAGTCAGCTTCTGCATTGGCATATGGCCAACAGGATCTGATGAGGAATGGTATGTGGAAGATGAGAAATGAGAGAGAAAGAAGACCTCTAAGTGTGGAGCAGGTTAGAAATCTAAGTAGACATGTTAGGCTGTTGCATATAAGGGTCTAGAGTTCAGTGGTCTGGGAAAGAGGTAAAAATGGGAGTGTCCCCACCCGTGTAGGTAGTATTTAAAGCAATGAACCTAGTAATATCACCAAGGGAGTGAATATGGAGAGAAAGGGTTACAAGAACTGTACTCTAGCACACTATGGTGTTGAGAGATGAAAAGATGAGGGGGAATACCTAGGAAACATTAAAACTCCACTCAATGTGCCGCAGTCTGGCTGGGCACAAAATCAGGAGCCACTCACAGCCTTGTAGATTCAAACAGCAAGTCTTTATTCCCGAACTCACACCGGCACTCTACACACGTTCTGGGGAAATCCACTTTCCGGGCCCCAATCACATTCTGGGCAAAATCCCCGGGAACTCAACCAGCAGGCGCGCCTGAGGCAGCAGGATACGCCCTATTCTCAGCAGGGTACATCTTAAACCTGGAACCGCCCTAAACCTGGATTGTCCTAAACCAGGAACGCCCTAAACCCCCATCTGCCCTAAACCTGGATCCTCCCTGGTCCTTGAGCAAGGTCACCTTACATGCAATGACACTGCAAATGACCTGGGTCATGCCATGCATCATTCTTACTTAGCAATGGCCCTCAGCATCAATGTACTGTCCCAGAGCATAATCAGCAAATCTCTTCTCAACAAGAACCATGAACATGACCAGCTTTCTGGTATACACACAGATCCTTTCATTTAAATTTTATTTATTTTTTTTTGTGACTTTTAAAAATTCTTTTGAATTATACACAAAAATAGTATATTTTGACATATTTATATAAACATGGAGTATAACTTTTTTTTAATTAAGATCTCATTCTGTGGTTGTACATGGTATGGAGATTCACTGTGGTGTATGTACATAGGAAAGTTATATCAGATTCATTCCACTGTCTTCCCTATTCCTGTTCCTCTCCTTTCCCTTCATTACCCTTTGTCTACTTGCTGATTTCCTAAGAGTCTGTGTCTGCCTCTGTGAACCAAATGAAACAGCTCAAATCCAATATGGCACGTCATGGGTGTCATTGCATGTCTTGAAATTCTATTTTTCCCCCTCCTTCATGACCCTGACCACTTTTTTGCTCTACTCTTATGGTATCAAAAAGTTCTCCCTTGTTTTTAGCTGGGTCTTCTTTTAGTCACCTATTTCTCTCTCTTGGGTTTTTGTCCTGAAAAAGTTTTTTTTGTTTGTTTTTTTATTGTATGATTTGATTCTCCTACAATGTTAAAATATTCCATTAGTAAACTTTAATTTTCTCCTCATTCTAAAAGCTCTTAGATTTTCCCCTTAATTTTCTATCCCATTGTTACCATTCAAGATGCCTGGTTGAGTAGATAAAAATGAGCTAAAATATAAAAATTAAGATAGATCATAGGAATGGATTCAAGGAGGTCAGTAGTTGTATGTAAGTGGACATGGGTCATGAAGGTGAGTGGGGTCTGGAAAAAAGCCCTGGCTTCTGGACTGAGTGACTGTTCCTCTAACTCTTTCTTCTATCTTGCCATATGCATGACTGTATCATGTGTTTCCACAATGAAATAAGATGATGATGACATATGGTTATAATAATAGATTATATAAATGGGTAACATGCCAACACTGAAAATCCTCGAAAACGAAAAGATGGGTTGGTGTGAAAATTGCACCATTATCTCTTTTTAAAAATCTGATTATGAAACATGAGATTCAAGCTGGATAATTACTGGCTTGGTTGGTACACAGCAAGTAGTTCAAGTCATCAAAATAGATGAGACCCCAAAAAGAATATGTAGAAGGTAAGAAAAGAAAAGTAACAACAAAAAAACACCAACAATACTATGACAGCAATGTCTATACTGGGTCAATACCTAATTTCTTTTTATGGAAAAAAATATATATCTTATAGTTCATGATGAACTGCAGTACATTGTCCTAGAAAGAAAAAAAAAATAACAGAACTATCATACACCAGAATTGTCAAGGGGGATATTTTTAATTCATCCACCCACACATTAGATTTTGGTGTTCATCTCCCTTCCAGTCCCCTATACATGTCTGAGGTGTTACACAGACCAAATATGGCCATATAGGCTAAAGCACATACAGACACTGATTAGCGATTTTTTTCTGAAAATTTTAATGTTTTGCCAAAGAAACCTCAGTTTATAGATATAGGCATCTGTGAACATTTCTTATAAGATTTAAAAATTATAAAATTCCAATTATTAATTTCTTATTAACTGAAATAATTATTATCATTAGTATAAGCTATAAAAATATAGATCAAAACTTAAAGAAAAGCAAAACTGAATTTAATCTTTATATCAGGACAAAAGAGATAAAATCAAAATGTTTAATAGACAATATTTACTATCACTACTGAAATTAATCCAGGTTACTATAGTCAGAGCATGTTATATTTTACTAATTTGTATAGTAACTTCAATATATTTTGGAAATCCAGATTGATTTATGCAATCAGAAAAATGAGAGAAGTCAATGAACAGGGTCCTGCCAGATACAAGCTCTAAAGCCTCTCGCTTGGCTCTGTGCCCTGAACTTCAGTTTGATGATGCTGATCGGCTTAAAGTCCCCTTATTGTTCATGCCTTCATGCTTTTAACGTTAACTATTCTGCAATAATTTCACCCCCAATTTTTGCTTATTTTTTAAAGTGCTCCCCAAATGGCTTTTTTTCTATGTTTTTACCGTGATTACCCAGTTTCCCCAAAGAGTAAGTCACTCCCTTTGGTATTATGCCTGTGCCTTCTTTGTAAAAAAAAAAATTATATATAGGTATATATATATGCATATATATTCATATATAAACATATATATGCATATATAAAAATGTATTATGTGCATGTATATACATACAATTATCTATAATATATAATATATAGATATATACACATGTGATATATCATGTGTATATATACAAATATATCACAATGCCAGGTGATTTTTGATAAAGAATACAGTCTTCCTAATTAGTACATAAATAAGATCTTTGAATTACTAAGACTATTCCATATAGATTGATCTTGGCCTCCTCCTCAGTTGCACAGAACTTGTTACAATGACTTGATATATAACCTGACATAATGTCAAATTGTGTAGATAAAAATACATTTATGCCTTGATAAAAGGCCAAGATTAGATCACTGCATCATCATCCTGGAAATTTTCATTTCCCTTTCCTTTAACATGTAACACGTTTAAGTTTTGTTATATAAGAAACATTCATACACGTTTTAAAGGCTCTCTTACACACACACACATAAACACACACACACACAGAGTGATTTGAGAGATACTGCCACACAAAATTTGATTAATCTGTATTGTTGTTGAAACTCATGAAGATTTTTTTTTCCATAAAAACTAATGTTATTCAGGATGCTTGTAGCACAGTGGTTCTCAAAGAGGGTATGTTTGGAAATATATAGAGTTGAGGTTTGTGTGGGGTAAAAGTTTTGCAAATTATTGGTGTTACAATAATTTAAGAGATATTAGTGGCATTTAGAGGGTGACAACCAGAGTTGGTAAATATTCTACACAACTAAGATGGTCCCTAATTTAAAAAAAAGTTGTCCTAACCAAAAAACAAGCAATGTTTGTTTTCTTGAGAGAATTGCAGTGGAATATGGTCAAATCCAGTGGCTAAGTGGTACAGCGAAAATGCAAACAAATGCAGGTTAGGAACAGGACAGAGGCAGTGTCTCAACAGTATAATTCAGTTCCAAGGAAGCTATCAAAAGACTAAGAATGTAAATTAGAAAAAGAAAAGCCATAAAATCTGAATCATAAACAAAAACTATTTGCCAAGAATCTATCAGAAGAAGCACACCTCTTCACATTCTTATATTTTCCAAACATCCATCTTACCTCATACACAAAAGCAAAACTAATATATAAAACCAGTGCCCTATGAAGCCAAATCATTCATTCAACAAATATTTATGAAATATATTCTATGTTCCAGGTTGTTTTAAGCAAGTGAACAAAAGCAGACATAATATCTGTCCTTATGTAGTTCAGTTTAGAGATATTTTAGGCTTTGTTTTATGTTTCTAAATTACTTTGGTAAGATACTTTGGTAAGAAAAAACTGACTTACAAAGATATGCTTAATAAATTCAATACAGAATCTCTGATAAGAGGTCACAGGAAATATTTGTTCCAAATATGCATAGCTATTTGTTCTAAGGGAAATTATAATATTCTTTTCAGCCAGTTTTTTGTCACTTGGGAAAAAAAATTCTTTTATCTAAAAATCCTACCTCCACTCAAACTCAAAGACACACCATCTATAAACACTGAGACACGTTTGCACATTGACAGATTCGTAAGTTCCACATAAATCTCTTTATGGGAAAGTTAAAATTTATGTTTAATACATTGTTATATGTGACATGTGTATTCATTTTACTAATAATTGTTAAAATTGAATGTTAATGATAAATTTCAATTTGAAACATTAGGAAAAAAACCCCTAGCCAATTCATGTGGAATTAATATATTTTTCCATGTGTTTGATAGAAGTATGGAGCAGCTAGATGGCTTTCCTGATCAACTGGAGGACCTGGATTCCTATTCAGAATCTGTGAAATTTGATGCTCGCTCAATGACAGCACTGCTTCCTCCCAGTAAGTAGAAGGGGGACAGAGTGCCTATGGGCAGCAGGTGCTTGCTTAGTTTTTGAGGGCCATGCTAACTGCCACAAATTGGGTAGCTTAAAGTTTCCTCAATAGAAATGTTTCTTTCACAAACTTGAATTCCAGAAGTGTTAATTCAAGGTCCCTGGAGGTCTCTGCACCCTTGTAAAGGCTGAGGGAAAAATCATCCCTGAGCTCTTCTTAGCTTCTCTTAGGCCCTGGCAATTCTTGGTATTTCTTGGGCTTGTAACTCTGTCAAACTAATATCTGCCTCCTTCTTTTTTCCCCTTGTGTAACTCTTTTATTTTATATTCTTATAAAGTCTCCAGTCATTAAGTTAGAGCTACCCTAGTCCAGTATGACCTCATTTAAAAGTGAGTATATTTGCAAAGACACTATTTCCTATTAAGATTACTTTCTTGGGTATCTGGGGTTAGGAGTTCAACATATCTTTGGGGGGCACACAAAATGTTCTTGACAGATGAAATAGATGTTTATTCAGGTTATGATAAAAGCTCAAAGTATCCAACTCTGTCTTTATAGGCAGAAGGGGGCAGGACAGAATTGTTTAGAATTCCACCAAGCCTTAAAGGATGAATATCCATATCCAAGGGAATGGGTGGAGAAGGAAGAGCAGTTAGAGAAAGCAGCACACACAAAGCTACAGACTCGTATATGAGTTTTTACTAAGGCAAACCTGGAATATAGCTCTCAACCCCAGCTGTGTGCAATGCTAATGATTGATGGGAGAAGGTGGTACCAGTGACATACACATTTAAAGATAATAGTAAGACCAACTATAGACAAAGATGCTCCATGATTGAGGAGGGAGGACAAAGGCATTGGGAGCAGGAGAAATAAGAGAAAAATCTGAGTTATTTAAAAGATAAACTACTCAGAACTTGTGATAATAAATTATACATGAGAAAGTGGATGACCCATCGGCTTCAGGTTTAGTCAACCTGAACGATGGAATATCCCATCTTGCTTCTGTTATGGGTTATTCTTTTTCTTATCCCAGCAATCTTTCCTTTTCTTTACTTTTCAAAAATTTTCTTTTCCTCTTGATCCTTCATAAAGCATTATTGAATAACATGTCAAATTTTGTTTTTAAATTAGAAGTTTGCAAACAGAAAGGAAGTTACTTTTTTATTAAACAATAAAAGAAATAGCCACAGAAAAGAAAATTTTAATGAATGTTTTATTCATCTAATCAGACAATAGTCTTCCCAAACTACTAAGCTTCCCTTGTATGTTAATGTATTTCTACCACAATTATCTTTCCATTGTGTGAATCACTGTTCCATATAAATGCATCAGGCTACAAAGTTATTCTTAATATGTTCTGAAATATCCAGAAGATGAGCTTCATTGATTCATTTCAAAATTTAGTCAGCATGTAAATTCTTTTATTTCATTTTTTAAAAATTTTGATATTATATTCAAATCATAAGGTACACAAATACAAAATTATTGAGATGGAATCCATAAATAAATATTTTGCCTAATGGTCATTGAAAGTAAATATTTCTCTAGTTTCAAAATATGAAAAAAATCATAATCACGTTGCTTGAGGAATTTTATTTGACCCAGAATATATTCCCATGTGAAATATGCAGAAGAAAAATATTTATGCCAACATATGTCAGTACCAATATTAAAATTTGCCAATTAATCCTCCCAAATGAGATAAGCGCAACTTGTAGAGGGTAGTAACTTTCTCTTGGACTTTCGGTAAATAGATAAGTGAATCAAGTGTTCATAGTCACACCTGAATCAGCTTTTCCTATGCCTGTCCCTTTGTTTGGTACAGAGTAACTAAAAATCTAGTTTTCCTTTGTTTTGTTACAATAGGCTTGGTCCTAATCATATAACTAGAGATTATAAAATTTTAATCACATAAGAGCGGAAAGTTTTCTAACAATAGTTTTGGCTTTTGTTTTTTGTAGATCCAAAAAATGGCCCTGCCCTTCAAGAGAAACTGAAGTCCTTCAAAGCTGCACTAATTGCCCTTTATCTCCTTGTGTTTGCAGTTCTCATACCTATCATTGGAATAGTGGCAGGTATGGAATTCTAAAATATTGAAAATTAGCAATTCTTCTTGTGAATTATTAAATGTAAAAAAAAAACAGCATTCAGTTTTCTTTTAATATGGTAGATGCATAAGGAAAAATTCATGTATAATTATTTCCTCAAGTTTGTTAAATTAAAAAATAGATTCTGTGCAGCCATAGTATAGAGATATTCCTTATTTATTTTTCCTGTAGTAATTTCCAAAAGTAAGCCCTAGAATCCACTTCAAATAGCCTTCACTTATAATCACACAAGAAAACTGTAATACATAATGGGGGGAAAAAAGGCAATTTTTTAAAAAATAAAAACTTTTTCTTTTTCTTGAAATAAAAGAATAGATTCTGAAATGTTAAGTGGAAGCAAATAGATATTTTCAAATTAGAAAAAAAAAACAGAATAGAAAAGAACAAAATAAAACATAAACATGTGAAGATGGGAAGATTTTCAAAAATCTGTTACACTCCAAAGTTCTATGTATATAGGACTAGCAATGGACCATAAATTTCATTGCCAATGTGAAGTATTCTAGTTTCCAATGTGAAGACAAACATGATCATTTGCACTGACAATGGATTTACCATTAAAACAAGGCTGTTGTTCAGAAGATCTTCTATGTCTAGTACTGAGAGCAGAAAGAAATATTCCCACTATAAACCAATGCCTTACACCTACCTCTTTAGGTGCAGTTTTTACAATTAACATGATCTCATGCTTCATGAGCTATTACTTAAAATATCTCTAAAAATAACACATTGGCATTCTTTCACATTGAGCTCAAGTATATTTTCCTTTGGGGAGTCTGACTTGGATTGGGAATAGATTTAAGGATATTGACAAAGGCAAATGGCTTGTATGTAGTCTATATATACATGTAAATGTTTTTCTCCTAAATAACATTTTTATGAATTTGATGAATTTAAATTGGCATTTAAATTTATATGTCTTGTTGCTGTCCTCTTCTTTATGGCTGGGAAAACATATGGCCATATGTTCTGTCAAGAGATAAGTTTGGAAGAAGATGCATTTTTATGTCTATATTAATCAGCTTAACAAGAATATACTCCTGAATAAAAGTTCAAACTTCTTTTATTAAGAGGCAATGTAAGAGGGGGTATTCCAAAACAAAGCCAAAATTCCATACCAAAAATATAATACAGAAACAACAACAATTGTAATAGCCCCTGTCATTTTTCTTTTTTAAACATTTACTGTGTTTAGTTACTAGGCTAAAAACTTTCCCCAAATTTTCTTACTACACCCTTATACTTTAAGCAGATGCTATAGTGTCCTCATTATCTGTACAAGAAAACTGAGATTCCTCAGTAATGGAGCTGGAGTTCCCATCTATGACTTCTGAATTCTAACCTTTATGGTCTGCTGTTTCTCTAGGTTTTTATAACAAACTTGAATGGTCAGTAAAAGTAAAATAACAACAGCAACACAATGAGTTGTGATAATTTTAGCCAAGAAAATGGTTTCCTCAGGAAAAAAATTATCTAATATTTTAGCCATTAAAATACAAATGAAAACAGAAATTGAACCATAACATCCAAACCAACAAGCAAATGCACTACAGTCATCTAAATAAAAGGATCTGATATATCTAGCAGTAAAAAAATCAACTTCCTGATGAGACATAGTTATCTGTATGCTATTTGTGCATCTGCTTATCTCTAATGTAAAATGCATAACTGAAAGATGCATCATTGTTTGGGATTATTAACTACACCAGAAATTGGATACATTTTATTTTTTATATAAATCACAACCTACGGAGCCAACCTCAGGAACTGAAGCTTCTGACAGTTCCATGCAGAAGGCAGGCAGAAGTCTAAAAAGATTTCAGGGATTCTAATCAAGGCCCAAATACCTGGACTATTAGAAAGTACTGTAAGTGTCAACATATTTGTTCGAGAGTTGATAACAATTGATCTGAAGTAGTTTGTTTCCTAAAATCACAATAGGCACACATTAAGATTGACAAGAAGCTAATATATTCCAATATTATTGGTTTGCATCAGTACCAAATCCATGAGAATTTGGAATAGAACTCACTGTATCTGTCATTTATTCATAATAAAATATTGATAATCCATTTATAACTTAAAGTTGTAGATCAGAATATTTTAAAAATGAACTAAAATATAGTACATATCTCCATGTGACAAAAAATATATTAATATAGACAAAACATATGCCTAAGATAATAAAAGGTACTCCTTTTGGAAAATATGAATTAATGAGCCCAAAAAAATAATTGCACGTGAAAACTAAATGTGTTCTTAGTTATACAGTTTATTCCATATGCTTCCTGTCCTTAAAGAAGCTGCTGAAACATTGTGAGAGCATAACACATAATGCTTTCGCATAACAATAAAATACAACCTAGAATTGATGTGTATAAATTGCTCCTGAAATACTAAAAATTCTTATTCAACACAATATAAATTTTGGATAGGAAAAGATATTACCAACATGAAAGAGTAAACATGATCTGTAGAATCAAATATAACCCTCTCCCTAGATCTTTGCATAGGCCATAAAAGTTTGTCTCCTTTCATATATGAAATAGGAAACTCACAAAATGCCAGCACTCCAATAAAAATGAAAGAAATGAACTTCTGAAAAGGAATGAACTCTGACCTTCTTTACCTCACTATATGATAGCATTAAACATTTTTAAAGAAAGGAAAGTTTAAGTTAGTTTCATTCAGGTTAAGGAATTAATCAATGTTGTGTTTTTAAATCTATAAGCAAAAGATAAGCCTTTATTGTCAACTCTTTTTCAATTTGTTGCCAAATTGTTGGCCTTTTCTAAAATTAGTTCTTCTCTTTCCGTACAGTGAAAAAGACTAACGTTAACTGCATGAAACAAAATTTTTTTTCATGAAAGCAAAATGATGTGGTGAGCAATTAGAGTAATTCACCTAGTAAAATAAAGCACAGTGACTACTATATTCATGGGAATATCCAATCCCAGAAAAATTTTTATATTATACAAAATTAATTTTCTAAAGTTAATCAGTATGAAGCATATAGATAATTGGGTCACATATATTGAGTTAAAAATTATAATGACAAATACCCTGAAACTTATCCAATGCCTATTACATGCCACAAAGTGGTCTAAACATTGTATATTTTATTTATGTAAACACTGAGATAACACTAGATAATATTCCATTTAAACAGATAGCAAAATAGAAGCACTGACAAATTAAATAACTTGTTCAATGCTTGTCCAGTGTCACACTTTATAAAGGGCAGAATCAGAGTTGCTAATGATGGAAGTTCTACTTCATAATCTAATCTTAACTGCTACCCAAGAAGCAATAATTATCATAAAAAGAAACAAAAAGAAAATTTTAAGAGGCGATCCAAAATTTTTTCCATATTGAATTTAATAAATGTAATGAGATGTGGCAAAGAAATACATTTTATGTCCATTTTATTGATAAATAAAGAAATACAGAGTAACATACATTTAATACAGCCTCTATTGTAGATCATATTAAAAATTTTACCTGAAGTGTATTAATTCAAGTAAGTTGATAGTGAAGGACTGTAACCAGGAAAAATATAACACATTTCTAAAAATTAAAATTGCATTGCATATTAAATATAGCATTTCTCAATATAATAATATATAATATAATATACTATATATTATATTATATATATAATATAGCATTTCTCAATATAATAATAGCAACAATCATTACACAAAGTTTTAACTAAAGGTAGTGGCTACAATGAACTCTATGACAATATCTTTCATGCAGAAGGCATTTTGTAATTGAATAGATTTGAAATATGGGCCCATTTGCTGCTATGGGATTTACATGCTTTATTTCACCAGATTTACCACCACAACTAAGGTAAGTATCTCTTTTGTATCTTTGAGGAAATCTAAGCAAGATACTCTTTTTATTGCTCCCTAATGTCATATATGGACAATCTGATGCATCCAAACTAACAAGAATGGGACTAATATTTGTGTACATGAAAAGTCTACATTTATGGAGATATAAGTATACATATATGGAGATATAAATATACATAAGATACAAAGAACCATTGCAATTTAGTTTTAAAATGACATTTAACATTTTTTCATTGTGTATAATTGTGTATTATTTTTATCTGCAAAGTTAATGCTTGTGACTTATTTTTCTTCTTTCCTTTTAAACAAAAGAGCATATTGCTTTAGAACATTTTGGAATGATAATTATCTTGTTTAGAGAACATATGCCCATTTGGAAATATGTATCAGCAATTCAGTATGTTCCCCAAATGTCATTTAATAGCAATTTTTTTCTTCAGTAAATAATTTATCACAAGATTGTTCATCAAAATGCCAGATACATTACTGGAAACAGAAGCAAACTAAATGTAGGTGGGCTATTAAATAAATCTGAGATACCCATTCATAGAATACAATGTAGTTAAGAAATTATTTTCGTAAAACAATATTAAATAATACTAAGAAATGTTTATGATATTGCATTAAATTTAAAGTAGCTTCCAGATTTATATAAAATATTTTTATTTCAAATAGTAATATGATAGTAGAAACAGAGAACAAGATTTGACATCTATACATCAAGATATTCGGAGTTTAACTTAGAATAGTAAGATGAGGATAAATTATTTTTTCTTATTATCCATATTTTCAAAATTTCTGCTGTGAATATATACTTTATAACAGGAAAAGAAGAGTTTGATGAAAACAATATATTTTTTAAATGTAAGAAAGTCGTTTTCCCAGTTTCCTGCTCCACCAACTGGGAGTTGAACCTGTGAAAACTAAAATGACAATTCTCTTAATTCAGCTTAAGCTATAGGATGAAGAAGATGAACAATTAATCCACAAAAAGGATGATGCTCCTACTTGTGCTTCACCTTTAACTACATATTATTTTGGTCAATATCATAGCTAACTTGTCCAACCTGCTTACCTCAGAAAATATATTGAGCATTATCTCATTATATCCTAACAATAGTCTGTGGAGTATAATATAACAGATTTTATATTTTTTAGAATGTTCTCTTACTGGAAAAGCTGAAGTTAATGGCCAGGAAGATTCATATAAGCAGAAATTCAGAAATAATGACATAATCCTGGAATAAATTCTTATGTAAAGTGGGAAAGGGAGGCTGTGTGCTACTCAGTAGTATACTATTATTCACATGTAGCATATTTAAAATAAATACAGGGTTTAGGCTATTATCCCACATGTAATTAAAATAAAGGAAAGGAATTAAATGGAGTAACATAATGTATACTTTTAAGAACACAGGTCTTGACTTCATTATTTTTTACTTAAACATGCAGCTCATCTCCTGAAGTGGGAAATGAAGAATTGCACAGTTGATCCAATTAATGCAAATGATATATCTCAAAGTCTGGGACAAAGAAATGGCACTGAAGCTAAAATGAAATTTCAAGAATTTGTAATGGAAAGCATGGTCAACATGGAGAAGAGAATCCAATCTATTTCAGATTCAGAAGCCAATCTCATAAATTCAGAACACTTCCAAAATTTCAGTGTGACAACGGATCAAAGATTTAATGATAATCTTCTCCAGCTAAATAACTTGGTTTCCTCAGTCCGGGAATATGAGAATGCAGTAGGTGAAATCTCCAAGTCTTTAATAAATCTGAATAGCACCTTACTTGATTTACAGCTCAATATAGAAACATTGAATGGCAAAATTCAAGAGACTACTTTGAAACAACAAGAGGTAAGAATTATTGTATTTGAAGGCCATTTTCTGGAATTAAATCTATCCAGATCCTGTTTCTTCGGGCAGTCCAGGACAAGGAGAGTTGCAAACTCTGTTTCTACATCATCGTATTTACCTTGGCTCCTCTGGCAATCTTTTCTAAAGTTTCCAAGTGGATTTATCTAGTGCCTTCTCCATACTTTCAGCAAAAGGGATAATTATCTTCCATTAGATGTAGTCTCTTTAAAGGTATTTTCGTTTTATAAATACTATTGCAGTGTCTTGTTAGATTGTCTAAAGCAATTGTAATTTTTAGATTATTTTAGCAGACCTGAAGAGGTAGGCACCCTGTATTTGTAAATTTTATATAGATCTAATATTTTATCATTCAAGAATGGAAACCTTATTTACCTGGATATTTTTTAAAAAATCAAATTTTAAAATAATTTATTTTGCCACTCCCAAGAGGCACACTCATGTTCTTATGTATACAAATAATTATATAAAAAAAACGAAATTTTGAATAATTTATATAATGTTATCTTCATAAGCTCATAATAGAATAGTAATGTATGCTTATCATTTTTATTGTTGGATTAAACATGCTAAGTTTTCTACTTCTAGGTTATGATATTCACTGATCATTGGGAAACAGCAACAAGAAAAACACTAGCATAATGGGGCTGGAGAATGATCAGAGAGTCCCCTATAATAAGAGAACAAGACATAGTGAGACCAGTTATCATCAAAATTTCTCTGTCAAAGGTCAGGTGGCAATATTTTACCTTGTAAGGACCACACAGTTTTTGTCTCAACAATCTGATACTGCCATTGTCACAAGAAAGCAGCCATTAGCAACATGTAGAGAAATGAGCAAAAGCTGTGAAACGATCAATATTTATTTACAAAAATAATCTGTTGGTTGGATTTGGCCCAAGGACTATAATTTTTCTGTCCTTTGCCCTAGACCATTCCGTGGTTAATTCTGTCAAAGATCTAGATTACTCTGTACTTATGAAAAAAAAAATTAAGAAACAAGTCATCAATTATAAAATTTTATTTTTATCTAGTAATATCATTTGTTTCTTTTCATGAACAATAAATGTTTGACCTAAACTTCACTACTCACTTGAAAAAAAATAATCTTCATGTTATAAAATACCTAAGGCTTATGCTTGTTATACGAAGCCTGTATTTCTATCATTAGTTAAGAAATGCCAGCATCATTGGAGTGGATTTTATTTGAATAGATCCATTCTTGATTAATGCAATTATTTTCTGTATAAACATATTACAACTACTGATTTTAGAAAATGGACATCACCTGTCTAGCAAAGTTACCACTTTGGATGAACACCAACTAAACTACTGACTGAGAATAAACAAGTTAAGAAATAATGTTCTGCACATATATAATTTGTAAGATTCAATCACTCTAAACTTTTTTTTTTTTTTTTTAATTTTCCTCTCCTTAAGAATGTCACAAGACAACGGCATGAGTGTTTAAATATGGGAACTCTGTTGGCAAGCCTCATTTCAATACCAACCTTGATGTCCTGCTCCTCTTTCATGTCTTTCCTTCTCAACCCTGCTAGTGTTTTTTCTCAGCCATTAATAAGGATCTGAGCACATCAAGACAGACTGGGATATCAAAGATTCAAGCTAAGGGGAGCGGGTAGTGGGAGACACAAAGAAGAAACCTTCCAGAGAGTTGAGGGACACAGGAGACAGACAAGAAGATGAAATGTCAGTTACAGGAGTCGACTTAAAGTTGGAGAGAAAAGAAAAGAACTATTATTTTATGTAGAAACAGGATTAGAGGCTCACGGGGGTGAGGTGAGAGGAGAGAGAAGCTAGACAAGATGAAAGAACAAAGACACTGAATTTGGCAATGTGCTAAGTCCAACAGAGATGATAGACTGTATTTGAACCCACTGTTAGTGAGGTATTCTAACCAAATTGAAAACTTTTTGAAAGAAGTAGACATTCTGGACATATTTGAAGTGATAATCATTAGAATCAAAGCCTCATGATCAACAAGCTTTTCTTAGTTTGGATAGATTGCTTTTATATTTTGCAGGGAGTTTCAGCCTTCCAAAAGTGGGTGCAAATAAATAACTGCAAAATCCTCAAGCTACATACATTGTTAAAGGTAGTAGTCACTTGCAGCAATTTAGACACAAAGTTGGTAAGTTGGTGCCATTGAAAGTGCTTGCATGTGCATGCATGTGTGCTTGGAAAACAACCTTGATGCTTTGATCCCCATTGCTTGAATAATTTTATTGATCTTTGAATCTTGATCTTTTTTCCTGTGGTGCTGGGGAGGGAATCCAGTGCCTCACCATAGTAAGTAAGCATGCTACCACTGAGCAACAACCCCAGTCCTGATCTTTGAATCTGTAGCCCAAAGAGGGAATAGGCGATTAAATGAATGGCCAAATCAGCAAATGCTGTTTGTTGAAAATGCTTATTGGTAATACCCTCTTACTATCAAGGATGACCAAATATTGATTTGAAAGGAAAAAAAAAAAAAGAGCACTGGTACCATATGAAAGAGGGTGTGGAATTTGTCATCTCCATTTTTCATGGAGATGACTTTAAGATGAAAAAATTACATATCCATTTTTATCAGGGCCACTGTTGATAGAGTGTGGAGAGTATGCATGGATATCCTCAAGAAATACTTGTAAAATTATAAAGAATTCCATGAGTATTTTTTAAAAATCAAATGCATTTTCCATCTTTTGAATGCAAATAATTCCAAATGAAACTTGTCAAATGTGAGCAACATGTGCAGATTTTTTAAAAAAGTGAATAAATATGAATAAATAGGTAGCTTCAGCTTTAGTATGAAAAACAATTGATTCTAGGTATCTAGGAAGTCAAATTGCTAGTTCTCTGACCTCTGCTCTGTGGACTTCTGAAATTACCTGACATATTTCCATCAATTTTTAGCCACTTAATACAGTTGACCTTATTTTATCATGTTGCTATAACAGACATTTCACCATTCCATCTTTATTATATATACCATTTTGTATGAAAAATGCTAAATGACCAGGGAAGGAGGACCTGGAGGGTAGAGCTATTCTAATGTACAGCAAGGTTCCTGGTGGAGGGAGACATTGATTGAACAGACAGGACCTTCTCCTTAAGAAGAGTGCCATGGGAGAGGGAAATCTGGGTAAACCTTTGTTTCTTGATCTTTGCCATCTTGATCCTCTCATCTCCATTTGTCCAGTCCAGTCCAGAGAGGTATAAATTTATTTTAATGCATGGAGAAAGAAATAATATGCTACTGGCTTGTTTCTGTGTGCAGAGGGAAAATAATAATCTATCAACAGTTGAACATGGAAATACTTGTAAAATCATAAAGCATACCGTGAAGACAGGATGGGATAAGTGCAGAAGAGAAAGAAAGAAAATACTACCATAACACATTAGAAGACTTGGTGCAACAAAAATAGAGCCTAATGCCTGAAGAGAAAATTCAGCAAAGAATCTGAAAAGAAAAGTAATAAAGAAAAGCATTAAGGGTCAGGAACTTGATAATTGGATACTATAATTTCATTATAGTTTGAAAAGCAAATTAAGTCACAGTGATTTATTATGTATCTGCTCTTACTCTCCAAATTTAAATATGTTGATGGTACCTAGTATTTGGATGCAAAAAGCGAGTACTGATACAAAAAAAGTTAGGAAGAGAATTAATATGGTAACATATATTTAGAGAGCAGTTTTGCAGTATTGAATAAAAATTTTAATGTTTAATCCCTTTGGTCAAATCTACTTCCAGGAAGCTGTTCTATAGAACTTGTATGAAAATGTAAATGTATATAAAATGGTGTTCATTGCAGCATTGTTTAATGTTGTAAAAAGGGGAACAGCTCTAATCAATAAGAATCTTAATTAAATTTTGAAAAATACACCCAATATGGTTCCACTTTTATTGGAAGTGTCAATTTTAAAGACTCTAATAGGTAAATTTTCTTAGTATATCATTGCACAAAGATTAAAAACATATTCCAGAGGACAGTATTCTCTTCTCTCGTTTTTACACATTCTCTACATGTATACACATACATGTACATAAATATGCACAAAATATGTATGTATTTGATATTGTAAAATAATAATGAAGTCTCAATAACAGAAGTATAAATAGTGTAAAGTAAAATGCTACTAATTGAACATAAAAAATCTATCCTCAATGTTCATTACCACTGACAATTACAACATTAAACTTTGGTTATTGCTACAAAACAATTTCATACATAAATCTAGCAAAGTCATAAAATAGGAATAAGTTGCCATTCTAAATACACTCAAAAGAAATTTGACTTCAGATAAACTATCTTTCACATTTTGATATGTACATATTTGGAAATAGAAGCATAATTTAGATATATATTCAAATGATTTTTTTGTTGTTATTTTTGACTGGGCATATAAAAATTTGTCCATATAGTCAAAAGAAGAAATGTTTGTAACCAAAGAATCATTATTTTAAATACAGTCTCTCTAATTTTCATGTTCTTATTTCATAAGATTCCTATAATATGTGCTATAAAAACCAGAAATTCCAAAATTTCTTGAACTTACATATTTGATAATTTTGTGTGTAACAAAAGTTGTGAATGCTCACTATGTTTTACAGGAAATCAATAAATTAGAAGAACGGGTACACAACACATCAGCAGAAATTAAGTCTCTAAAAGAAGAACAAGTTTATGTGCAACAGGAAATAAAAAGAGAAGTGAAAGTATTGAATAACATCACTAATGATCTCAGACTGAAAGACTGGGAACATTCTCAGACATTGAGAAATATCACTTTAATTCAAGGTAAAATGTCTTGTGAGTCCTCCAAATGACACCTTAAAATGCACTGACATACATAGAGATTTGATATTTAAAATGCAATGGTTTAAAATAGTTTTCAAACATACATACATTTCCTACATTTCTGCACAGCAGAAAGAATCTTAAGATTAGATCAAGACATAGTAAGATAATCAGAAGCATCAGTAGCTTGGTATCCTTGATAAAGGGATAAATAAATGAAATACCTCCTAAGATCCAATAAGCCTTTCACTGTTGAAATTACCCCATTTATACTGAAGAACAGTGTAAGCTTTTCTGTCACTACAAAGTTCTTACATGTTCATAACCCAAACTTGTTAATCCTGTCTGTCAATATTTCCATACTTTTCTTACCTCTTACCTTACTATATAATTAATTAAGAACTTTGTTTGAACTCTCCAAAATAGTGATAATTTGTCAATTTCTGCTTTAGTTCTCATTAGTAAAGCAAGGAGAATTGGATCATACTGATTTTAGAATAATATAAGTCACTTTAATTTTACACTAGCTTTTAGGTATTTTTACAGCATAAATATTAGTCCATATTTTGCTTCAACTTTTGATATCCTTTGCTCTAGCTTTGTCATTTGTAAAGCACATTTATCTTTTATTTTTTTTCTTAATCTTTTTTGGTTTGCTTGTTTAATACAATGTGATAATTTCTTTTCACTTTATTTATGTTTATCATCTTATTTTATTTGTTCTTTTTAGTTATACTTGACAGTAGAATGTATTTTGATATATTAGACATACATAGAGTATAACTTATTCTAATTAGGATACTATTCTCGTGGTTGTACATGATGCTGAGTTGCCCTGGTAATATATTCAAATATAAGGTTAAGAAAGTTATGTTCTATTAATTCTACTGTCCTTCCTATTGCCCTCCCCCATTCCTTCTCTTTTTTTTTTCCCTGTGTCTAATCCAGTGGACTTCTATTCTTCCTCTTCCCACCCTCCCTTGTTGGAGATAGCATTCACATATCAGAAAGAACATTCAGCCTCTGTTTTTTTTTTTTTTTTTTTTTCGGATTGGCTTATTTTACTTAGCATGATATTCTCTAGTTCCATCCTTTTACCACTAAATGCCATAATTTGATTCTTCTTTATGGCTGAGTAATACTCTGTTGTGTATATATACCATGTTTTCTTTATACGTGCATCCATTACATGATCATCTCATAATTATCTCATAGCTTGACTATTGTGCATTGAGCTGCTATAAACAGAGATATGGATGTGTCACTCTTGTATGCTGATTTTAAGTCCTTTGGGTATAAGCTGAGGAGTAGGTTAGCTGGGTCAATTGGTGGTTCCATTCTAAGTCTTTTAAAATGGATAGTATCCATACTGCTTTCCATAATGGTTGCACCTATTTGTAGTCCCACCTGCAAAGTATGAGTACCTTTCTCCCCACATCCTTGCTAACACATATTGTTGTTTGTATTCTTTATAACTGTCATTCTAACTGCAATGAGATGGAATCTCAGTGTAGTTTTAATTTGCATTTTTCTAATTGCTAATGATGTTGAACATTTTTAATATATTTTTGACCATTTGTATTTTTTCTTCTGTTAAATGCCTTTTAGTTCCTTTGCCCAATTATTGGTTTGGCGCTTTTTTTTTTTTGGTGTTATTTTTTGAGTTCTTTTTATAACCTGGAGATTAATGCTCTGAGCTGCAGGTGGTAAGAATTTTCTCCCATTCTGTAGACTGTGTGTTCACATTCTTGATTGTTTCCTTTGCAGTGAAGAAGTTCTTGAGTTTGATACCATCCCATTTATTGAGTCTTGATTATACTTCTTGTGCTTCAGGATTCTTGCTGAGGAAGTAGGTTCCTAGGCCAACAAGATGTAGTGTTGGGCTTACTTTTTCTTTTAGTAAGCGCAGAGTTTCTGGTCTAATGCCTAGGTCCTTGATCCACTTTGAGTTTTGTGTACGGTGAGAGCGTAATTCGCCACATCAATATACTTAAAGACAAGAATCTCATGATTGATTATCTCATTAGATGCAGAAGAAACATATGCCAGAATTTAGCATCCATTCATATTCAAAACACTAGAAAAACTAGGGATAGCTAGAAGATACATCAACATTATAAAAGCTATATACACTAAACTTAAAGCCAACATTATTGAAAATGGAGAAAAATGAAAGCATTCCCTCTAAAAACTGGAACAAACAGGAATAACATTTTATATTTATACTCCCCAGCCATCCCCCACCCCGCAATTGTGTTTTATGTTTCCTTTCTTTTTCTTTCCTCTCTACTTTGGGACTGACATGAAGTTTCTGTGAAAATTTTGTAGTGTATTTTTTTCTTCTTGATTGTTGCCTGCAAAAGTTATTCTAACCCTCTAAAGTCAATCAACATCTTACTATACAAGGAAACAAATGTTTCATCTGATGATCTCCTTATGGTTTCCTGCTGTCTTTTAATGTAGTTATTTCGGGTTTTGTTGTTGTTGTTTGTTTTTGCTGGAAATTTAGTCATTGTTTTTCTTACTTTATACAGGCAATATTTATTGATATTTGTCTATGAGTTTACCAATTGTTCCACATTCTCAATCTCAGCCATCCATTCTGATGTCATTTTCCTTCTGTCTAAATGTATATCTTTTAGAAATTCATTTAATGAAAGTCCATTGATGGTGAGAGGTTTTGTTTTCATTTTCTCTATTTTATTCTTGATATTTAAGATTGTTTCACTGTACACAGATTTCTCAGGTTGACAGTTATTTTGGTTATTTTTGTGTTATAGTTGTTCTTCAGTATCTATGAGGTATTGGTTCTTTCAAGCAAAATGGTGGATGCTCAGCTGAATATGTAAACTGGCTTAGGATTTGTGCGTAACTTATGTTCAATCTCTTATATAGTTTAAATCACTGCTAGATTGTTTATAATACTTAAAACAATGCAAATTCTACATAAACGTTGTCATACTGAATTGTTTAGGGAATAATGTCAAGAAAAAAGTCTTTATATATTTAGTACAGATGAAAAATTTGGGGGGGGTGGTCAGTTGGTTAAAATCACACATGCCAAACCTAGGGATATAGAACGCTGATTGTATTTTGAAGAAATTGCTCCCTTGGCTTCTGGGCTTTCCTTGTTTCTCTTAAAATGACTGCTAGCAATCTGCTTATCCTTCTTTGTCTTTAATAGCTTCAAATTTATTAATTAGTGTGTTTTTTGAGAATTTATTTCTTTGAAATTTGTTGTATTTCACACATTTGGGGATTACTTGAGAATTTATTCATTTGACATTCATTTTATTTTCTATATTTGGGGATTAAAGTCTGTCATTAAGTTGAGAACATTATCACCTTCAACCCATTTGACTATTGCTGTCATGGTTTTCTGTCTTTTTCTCTGTCCCTTCAATTAAATTATATCAAATCTTCTTACTCTGTCTCCCATGTGTGTTAACCTCGGTTTTATAATTTTAGTCTTCTCATTAGTAATTAAAGGAACAGAAATGAGGCACTCCATGATATTTCATTTTACATATGCTAGTTTAGGAAAATTAAGAATTCTGATAATCCAAGTGTTGACAAGAAAAAAATTAAAAGAAATTCCAAATGAATAGAGAATATTTTTGTTGCTAATGCTTATAATTTGGCAAAAGTAAATAATGTATATTTATAGACACATACATGCATAACAAAAATGGTTATTTTAAAAATGGAAGCAAACAAGAAACACCAAATTCAGGTTAATTTTTATCTATGGAAAGGAATTAGATGAATGAAACGAGAAAATACTTAAGTAGATACTTACGTATTGGGTTGTGACTTTGAAGGGATATTATCTTTATTACTGCACTTTGTATCTTATATAGAATACATATTATATGTTTCTTTAATTATGACATTAAATTAGATGATAAAAAAAATTTTGAACTGATTGGTGTTCTAACAGTTTGATACCTGTACTTTGGATTTCAAGTAAGTATCCAAAACTTTCAAATTTAAGACCAAAACCTTGACTTGCCCAGTCCACCTCCCTTCACCTTCTCAAATCCATTGCTTTTCCAGGTTTTTTTTTTTTTTTTTTTGTCAATTATATCATTTTCCAACTAGATTCTCATTCAAGAACCTAGAAAGTTACTTTTGCCCTCTCTCTTGTTCTCTTCCATTATATAATCCACCCATAAATCTGCTTAACTCTTATTACATATGATGTTTCCAATAAAACTCCTCAGTAATCACTGTCTCTACAGTAATTTCTATACTACTGTATTACTACCATAATTTGAACAACCATATTCCAATTGAGTGCACTATATCAATCTCCCAATTTGTTTCCTAGTCCACTATTTACCCGTTCTACAAAAAACAAATAGTACTATTTTAAAAAATAGCCCCCACACATTATTTCTGTCTCGTTTTCTAATCTTCCCTCCAGCATCCCTTTGTGTAGCTTGGATAGGTGGAAGAATGACAGTTCCCTGAAGATGTAAAAGTCAAGAAGAAGGAAGTGTGAGTTTAATTGCTTGCCATCCACAGTGAGCGCTAGACTCCTTCTTTTCCTATCAAAATATTGTTCTTGTGTCTCTCCACTGTATTGTGGCTCCACTTAAAATCAGCTTTATGCTGACGATTTCCCTCTCTGATTCCCCCTTTCACATTGCCATCCTCCAACTCTCTATGCTATTATTATTTGCTTAGACTTTTCATAGCAATTATCCCTGTATACAATTATTTCATACATGTTTCCTTATGTGTTTACCATGTCTTCTCCACTAGAATCTAAGCCTCTTGGTTGGGTTCTGTCTCGTCCATCCCTGCACACCCAACACCTGTTAGAGTGCTCATGTCATTATCCAGGTAGCTGCTCTCTTCAAGATATTAGAATATCTTTGCCTTCTCTCTTGCTCTCATGGCCTGTACAATACATCTGTGAGTCCTCTTAACTCTTTTTGCATTATATATTTCAAATAAAACTCCTAACCATCTCTATTAAAGTGGATGAGCAGTTA